TCAGGTCTGGAATGATATGCTTTTCTCAGAAAATCCCCTGTGTAACCCTATCGAAAGTATTATCGCTGGTATTCATCTTGCTATGAAGGCAATACCGCTCCCTCCTTCTGGCGTTCACTCCACTCAACTTGGAGCCTGGGTAATTTGGATCTCAAGGAATCAGAAAATCTTCCAAGATAGAACCTTCACTACGAGAGAATCAACCCTTAAAGTGTTAATTAACACAAAGGAATGGCAAGAGGCGCAGATCCACAAATCTACTTGCATGCTACACAGACCCCATTCTCTGACTGTTGTCCCATTTGATTCGATTATTTGCAGATCTGATGCGGCTTGGAAAACAGGAAGGCCGAGCGCTGGTATAGCGTGGAGCTTCTACCACGCAAACAGAGAGATTATCATATCTCACACCAAACTTATCTTCTTTGTGACCTCATCCCTTGTGGCAGAGAGTCTAGCATTGAGAGAAGCCATGGAACATGCATAGTCCCTAGGATTGACGAACCTGATCTTTGAATCGGATTCCAAGCAACTGGTGACAGCAGTTGAAGGCGAATCTAACTTCTCGGACCTTCATGGAATCGTCTCCGACATTATCTCTTTAGGAAACTCTTTAAACTATGTTTTTTCGTAACTGCAGTAACTTTTCTCTTGATGATGGCCTCGCTAAGCAATTTCTCGGTGAAGTTTGTACCAACCACATTTAAGTCTTTCATTAATGCAACTTCCTTGACAAAAAAAAAGATGTTATATTTGTATTTTATATTTTTTCATTTTAGCATAAAATATATCACCGATATTAAGTATCATATAAACAAACCCAACATCTATATAATTGAATGCCTAAGATATATAGCGAATAATTTTTTAAAATGAAAAATATGAAAATAGACAATTATAAATTAGTATGATAATTATGGATAATACATTAGCTATAACATTTGGAAGAAAATAAAATGATTGCTAAACTTCTACCAAATTTAGAACATATAAAAATTAAAATTAAAATTTGATATAACTGATAAGAAATTATAAATGAGCTTAAGTTTGTGTACATTTAAACCACATATGTGCGGATATTTTTTATTTTTATAAATAAATAGTTTTAAGTGATAATATATATTTTCAGAATTTACCTGTGTTAAATAATTATTTAATAATGATATCTATAAATATAGTAATTTTATAGTTTATATTGATTAATTTTGTTTTGTCTTGTAAACCATCAATTATATCACCATCATTTTTACAATATGATCACAAATGTTTTATTATTATTTTTGAGGATTAAAATTTTATGGTAATATATAATAAATACATGTTAAGTTGGTAAATAATTATAGTGGTGCTTGTAATATATTTATATTGGTGAAGATTAGTTTGTTTAAGAAAGAAAGAGAATATTATGACTGGTGGAGGAGAGTGAAACAATTGTAACTTTAATTATACATAAACATTTTGTGTATATTATTGATGACATTAATGTTTATATTATTGATATGTAATATGTAAGTTAAAAAATTTATATTGATTTTACTGTGAATTTAATTTATTTATTAATTTTTGAAAAGACATGGAATTCATAGAATTAGGAGTAATTATAATTTCATTAATTTTATAAAAGGCAAAGATTACTTAAATGTAGATTCATTTAGTTTACTTCAATGGTATTGAATTCGAAATAAGTTGTAAATGTAAGAGGTAATTTATATTGGTACTTATGTTTTAATAAAGTAGATGGTGAAATAGTACCATTTTGATGTTTTATTAGAGATGAAATTGTACAAAATTCGATATTCTGATGTTCATTAGGGCCGGACTTTTTATTCGGGATCCGGATCCGATCCGAGATCCGCTCCGAAAATAGGATATGCGGAGGTGTCCGGATCCAGATCCAGATAGTAAAATCTTGGATCCGTCTAAGCTGGATCCAAATCGGGATCCGTATTTTTAAAAAATATTAAATCTTTTATTTATTATTAATAATTTATAATATCTTAATATTTATAATAAAATAAGTTTTATAATATTCTCTATTAATATTAATATATGTCCTATATATTTTTATAATTTTCCATAAATATTTAATTTATATACTATTTTTAGAATTTTTGATTTTTTTAATAATATTTTTGTTTTTTAATTGTTTTACGGATCCGAATTCAAATCCGGATACCCGCGGATATCACAATATTTGGACGGATATCTGAACCTCGGATACCCGGAAAACACGAATCCGGATCCGGATACTAAAATCACGGATCTGACGAATCCGGATCCGGATACTTCAAATTTTCCGGATATCCGGATCCGTCCCACCCCTAATGTTCATTGGAATTGACATACTTTTGTACTAGTAGATGACTAAAAAGGGTATAAGATGTAGGGGTGGGCACAAGCCGAGTACTTGGTATTTTCGATATAGTTAGTACTCGTTTGGCTTGTACATTATTCAAATTTTGGACTTGTTTTTTGTTTGTTAAAATCAAGTACTTACAGTTTCAAATACTTGCGAAAACTTGATGGACTTCCAAATTACTTATTTTGATTTATTACTTGCTATTTGTAAAATTTTTACAAATTACTTGATAACTATTGGTAAATTATTTCATAATGAGTTAACATTTAAAGGTAAATAAATTTATTATATATAAATAATATGTCATTGTTTTCATTTTGTCATTTTCTGATTTTTAATCATTCGTGAAATAGATTATATTAAGAAAGAAAAAATTCCAAAATGTTTATATAAATATATCACTTATGTTTGATTCACTTATAAAAACTGAAATATAAACGAGTTTATTTATTATGATTTAGAAAAATATATATTTGTTCATTAATAAAATGAATAATAAATCAAATAACGCTGAATAATTAGTTTTCTTTTATTATTTTGTATTTGTTTGTATTTGAAGGCATTTTAAATAGAATACTTGATACATGTCTTAATCAAAACAAGTATTCGATTTTAAGGATCGTGTACCAACCAAGTAGTGAACATGAGACAAGTAACAAATAATTGTGGCCACTCATAAAATACATAAATGTTAATTAATTAATGAAATATATACTAAATATTTATAAATCAAGTAACATATGACAAGTAACAAGTAAATGATAACAAATAATAAATCAAATAACAAACAAAGTAATTAAAAATTAAAATGAACTTGATACTTTATTTGTGCTTGCGAGTAGTATAATCTGTTTACTTGTTACCCGACTTAATCGGATCAAATTCTTTTTTTTTTAAACCAAACTGAATCAAATAGCGAGTACAAACTGAGTATCAAGCATTTGTGCGTAGTTAGATGAGCTAACAGAACCCCCAAACCCACAGCCTGATCTCAACCGGAGCACACGCTAATAACTTCGTGTACTAGCTAGCTCCTCGTGCTTTCGACTCCAGCCTACTCAATAACCAACGAGGACCACCCAATGCTATATAGGATGATAGCGATGGTCTTTTTTTTTTTTGTCGACGATAGCGATGGTCTCTAATGGATTTTTTAATTATCAATTGATTTTCAAAAATCATCATGAATTGACTTTTCAAAAGAATATATATTAGACTTTTTCCGTATGGGACAAGTAGACTTGTAAATTGGCCAACACCTACCGAACAAGTTAATATTTATATAAATATATCAAAAAACTATAGTACAAAGCTATAGTCCCTTTTCTAGCTCGTGATGTCATTAAAGGACCTTAACAAAACAAGATCGGCAATCTCACATGTGTGAAAGTCGTAGGAAGATCCTCTTTGCTTTTGCTACAAACCAACCAGTTTTCACGAGAAGAGATTATATCTGAAACTCAAAGGTGGGTTTTACTCGAATCTTCCACCTCTTTTGTAGTACGTCTTTGACGTTTTATCATTGATGAAACCTAAGACACTTCTATACTTTCTCCTCAGAAAGTTATAGGTTTCTTGCTTGATTCATATATTGATAACTGATTCTGAAATTACTTTAAGAATACGTGACAACAAGAAAATATAGTACGTTGATTGAGAACAACAAATAAACCAATCATATTTGCACAATGTGAGAATGGAATATCCCTTATCATTGTCCACCAGTTAGCATATGCCTTGCTTGGTGATCTACGTTTCTTGAAGCATTTATTATCAAGTTAACTTTAATGTTTTATGACTGGTTTATTTTAAGATCCCATGTTTTAGTGTATAAAAGAATTGAAGTCAATGATGTACTAGATAGACAGCTATTAACCAGAATATGTATCCTATTGGCTTGTGGTTTAAACTTTAAAGTATTACATTGAAATCCGCATTAATGCTGCATGATCTGTTACGAAGAGACCAGATTGAATGGAACTCGGTGAGCTTAAAACGAAAATGACATATTTTTTATTCTTTTTCAGATGAAAATTTACTTGGGGAGAGAGCAGAGCTAGAGAAAAATAATTTTTTTGGTCAAAAAGAAAAATGTTTAATCTCGATCTTTTTGGTGTCATGGTGAATATCAAAGTTCAGACCATACAGGAAATCAGAAAATCGAAAACAAAAGGAAGTAGAAAAAGACATGTTAAACTAATACTAGTATTATTTTGTCATTTCTGAAGGTTCAACACAAAATGATCAAGAAAATTAAAATACTAGTATTATTTTGTCTTTTTTTTGTCATTTCTTTAGTTTCAAATAAAATGAAGAAGAAAAAGACAAGTTATATAGTTGACATAAATAACAGATGACAAGAAAAAGGATAGCATTGATTCGTGTAATGAAAAATCTTCCAAGCGTTCAGACTTAAAAAACTCAAAAAAACTTTAAAAAACTCGACTAAAACAAGTTTATTTTTTCTTAATAAACAGGGTTGGCCCGAATATTCCATTTCTCAAGACAACTCATGCATCTATCTTCTTCCTAAGGAAATATACCCGTCTTTGTATAAATAGTTTCCCTCAGAAGACTCTTCTTCAGACAAAATCATCTGAGGGACTCAAAAAGATCAAAAAAGATAAGGGAAGCTAAGAAAATGGGTCGTCGTCGTCTCGAAGGGCCAAATCTATTTCTCCTTCTTATTCTGGGTTTGGTTCTGAACAGCTTAGTGTTGTTCTGTCATGGTGGCATAACAAGTAGTTATGTCAGGAAGTTAGAGGCAACGGTTGATATGCCACTCGATAGTGATGTATTTCGTGTTCCTCCTGGTTACAATGCACCTCAACAGGTACGTATACACCTTTTCTTTCTATAATCGAGAACCTTTTCTGAGTTGTGTTCCCAAATAAATTATAACGATTAAATACTAATAGTTCTTTTTGGTTGTGTTGCTAGTATTCCAATTTGTCGGTGGGTGTTAGAATTTCTCTTTTCTATTTTAACAGTAGTAGAGCCGGCAATCCTGAAATTTTAGAGATTATAGGAACGACTATTTTCTTAATGTGTCTTAATCTTTAGAAAGGGGTGGGGGAGGGTTTAAAGTCTATGTTTAATTACTGCATATGCTAATGTCGGCTCTGAATATAAGGTGTGACTTTAAAAAAGTATCTTTTTAATCTTGCTTTAATTGCAAAAAAAACTAGTTAGTGGACGATTCTGATTGATTATACTAATTTTCTATAAAGATGCACCTTTTTTTATTTATAAACAACTGATCTAAGACCATCATCCCCAGTGAAGAGTTCTTAACTTCGGATAAGAGACGGTTTCTAACTTTTCTTAAATTTTAACTAAGAAAAATTAAGACGATTCTAAATTATGACCGTCTTTTAAATAAGAGATAATAAGAGTTGTCTCTTAGCTGATAAATGTAAAAAAGAATGTCAAATTATGACTTAAGAACTTTGATTAAAAAACCGAGGTTAATAATACCCTAAAGTTCAGAAAAATAAATAATTGATCTAAATTGGGTTTTCCACAAAAAGGTGCATATAACGCAAGGGGATGTAGAAGGGAAGGCAGTGATAGTGTCTTGGGTGACACAAGAAGCACCAGGATCTAATGCAGTTCTTTATTGGAAAGAGAACAGCTCCAAAAAGCTCAAGGCCTATGGCAAATCCAACACATACAAGTTCTACAACTACACTTCTGGTCACATCCATCATTGCACGATCAGAAATTTGGAGGTCCATCATTTTATCAAAAATTACATCATCATTATCAGAATCTTTGCTATTATTGTCTAATCTGATTCAGTGTTCTCTTCTTGTAGTATGACACCAAGTACTACTATGTGGTAGGTGTGGGACAAACAGAGCGTGAGTTCTATTTCTTCACTCCTCCTGAAGTCGGTCCTGACGTGCCTTACACGTTTGGTCTTATTGGTAACTGTCCAACATGTTCATGGTTTTAACTTTACCATAAGAGTCACATGAAGTTGAGTTGCTAATTGTTGTTACATGCAGGGGATCTTGGGCAGAGTTTTGACTCAAACATAACTTTAACACATTATGAGAATAACCCAACGAAAGGGCAAGCAGTTTTGTTTGTTGGAGATTTCTCATATGCTGACCAGTACCCGAACCACGACAACAATAGATGGGACACTTGGGGAAGATTTGCTGAAAGAAGCACAGCTTATCAGCCCTGGATTTGGACCGTTGGAAACCATGAACTCGATTTTGCCCCTGAGCTTGTAAGCTTCATCTATTTTTTTACTTGGCTTTAGGCTTAAAAATGCTACATCACAAAAGAGAAAATGTAGTTAAACTAGCACTATATAGATTAGACTGAGACTGATGTGGACTGTTTTTATACACTTGGCAGGGAGAAACCAAACCTTTCAAGCCATTCTTGAATAGGTACCGTACTCCTTACCGGTCATCAGGCAGCACAGAACCATTCTGGTACTCAATAAAGAGAGGACCGGCTTACATAATAGTGCTAGCTTCATATTCAGCATATGGTAAACTCATCTTAAACCTTTTGTTGTGATACAAAGAAATAATTATAGGATCCTAATGGTCCATCTTTTCTTGGTCAGGCAAATACACACCACAGTTCAAATGGCTTGAAGACGAATTCCCAAAGGTTAACAGAACAGAAACTCCATGGTTGATCGTTCTGATGCATTCACCATGGTACAACAGCTATGATTACCATTACATGGAAGGTGAAACCATGAGAGTGATGTATGAGGCGTGGTTTGTCAAATACAAAGTAGATGTTGTTTTTGCAGGTCACGTCCATGCCTATGAAAGATCAGTAAGATATTAATTAAGTTTTTCTAGCTCATCATGCCGCTTTTTAACATAGAAATTCTGAAAAGTCTGAGCTATTGTGAAACCAGGAACGTGTATCAAACATTGCGTACAACGTGGTTAACGGAATCTGCACTCCAGTGAAAGATAAATCAGCTCCAGTCTACATCACCATTGGTGATGGAGGAAATCTTGAAGGATTAGCTACCAGGTATGCTAAATAATCAAACACTTGTGATCATTGTAACTGTTTTTTTGGACTATGTTCAGATGATGAGTTTGAAAATGTGCAGAATGACTGAACCTCAGCCTAAGTACTCTGCCTTCAGAGAAGCGAGTTTTGGACACGCGGTATTATCGATAAAGAACAGGACTCACGCGTACTATGGTTGGCACAGGAACCAGGATGGCTATGCGGTGAAGGGTGACACCATGTGGTTCTATAATAGACACTGGCATCCCATTGATGATTCTCCTTCTAATGATTCTTGAGAAACTTTGAAATCTTATTTGTATACATCACTTTGATGGTGCATGTCCTTGTTTTAAATAAAAAATCAATCAAACAAAGGTGTAGTAGGATTAGAATGTGTAAAAGGATTAGATCATCATGATCTAAAACTTGAAACATATGCAGAAACTATTTATCCATTCTGGTTTGGAGAGTGTGACTCAAATTCGATTGTAATGTTATAAGATTCTACTTATCTCCTTCAGCTATCTATAAATAAGAAGCTACTCTTAAGTTGTTTACATCGCCTTCTCTCTGTGAGTTAAGTCTTAAGACATGTTTGCTGTTGACCTTGAGGCGATTCTTTGAGTTCAAAAGTATTTTTAGTGTTGTTAAGCAGGAACCGGTGTCTCGGTTGTTTCTTGTAGCTCAAGGAATCCATGGCTTTTGTAATGGGAGGATAATGTCTGACTTTTGTTCCCTGTACCACACATTTTCCAATTGTCTATATGCGTAACCAAGTTTATACACATGCTTTAATCGCATTATTGTAATAAATTGTGCTAATACAAAAACAAGTGACATTTTTGCCAATAAACATGATTCTTCGAATTCCAGATTCAAGTTTTACAAAGGATTCCCCCCCCCCTTTAGAAAAAAATCAAAGGATCGTTTGTCTGATGATCAGATTTTATGTTCCATTGTTCTTGTTCTGGGTTTGGTTCTGAACAGCTTGGTGCTGTTCTGTAATGGTGGCATAAGCAGTAGATATGTCAGAAGATTTGAAGGAACATCGCTATCTTATCACGAGGCATAATAACGGTTCCTTCTAATTTTCTGACATATCTACTGGTTATGCATCCATTACAGAGCAACACTAAGCTGTTCAAAACCAAACCCAGAACAAGATCAACAAAACATAAATCATCTCTGGACACGATCTATTTTCTTTTTATTTAAAGAGAGACCCTCAGATATGTTGAGCTTCTTTCATCAAATACTCCTCACGTGTTCTTTGGATAATTGATCACCTTGAGAGAGACCTCCGACAAACAAACCCGCTTGGTTAAGTTTATTTTTGAGTCAAAATCTTTCCCAAGATCCCCTGAAAACAAAGATCTGCAACTAGAGTTAGGTCCATGTGAGACTAATAAATTGCATTTTTGTTAAAAAATGAGTAGGCTTAGGAGTTAAGACAGTTACCAATGAGATGTAACCTGTAACAAACATCTAGACTAATTTCAAGAGGAGTGAAGAGCCAGAACTTGCGCTCTATTTGTCCCACGTCGGGTTTGGCTCGGTCATTATGCAGATACGGAGATACCATATCACACATTCAAACGTATCTTGCTCTTCAGAACCAATCCTACTAAAACGATCTGATTCTAAACCTTAATCCCATTCTATCAGATTTTGTTTTAAAAAAAAAAAATCTCAAGAGAGTGAAAGCAGATTCAGAAAGATATCAAAAGATATGTAAAAGATAATGAAAATTGCAATTTTCTAGTTCTCAAGGTTTCTCAATTACATCAACGTTTCTTATATATGCAATGTCAAGGCTATTCATAAATAAGAAAAATCCACATTTTCTAATTTTTGAAGAAATCATAGCAGATCTCGTGGATGTGATGTAATTAATGCTCCTCAACAGCTACCTAACAGCTGGATGAAATTTAGCAACAATAAGGAATAAAAACTAAGGATTTCAGTAATTATATGCAGATGTACACACAACAACATAACTCAAAAAAGATTGTTGACTTTTTGGAAAAAAAATCATGAGGCTGAAAGCCTTTTATCTATGTTGTATACACGTACATTGTGAAAGCTAGTGTACATTGTAAAGTTGGTGTACACATTAACATCATATAAGATGTAGACATTTATACAAATGTAGAAAGCATTTCGGAACAATACATTACATCTCAAAACAAAACAAAAAACAAAGCAAAACATCCGAAAACACATAAGAGATGAGAAGTGGTGAATGCAATATAAAAAAATCTTCTTGTGGTTGCTATAACGGTTCATGAACAATCTATCTCTTTTCATTAACACTCATTCATGTGCATTTAGATGAGCCATGTGAAAACCGTTCACAATAAAAGTTTTTCCTTTGGCATCAATCCGCATATTTTCTCAGTCATGAAAAGAAACAAACTCGTCTTCCTTGAAATGCATGTAAACTTTAACACGATCATGAACTCAACAGCATCAACACTACTTCTCTCAGATATTCCAAATCCTGCTCTTCAGGTTTCAAGCGTCTGTCTCCTCCTCTGCGTCTGATTCCCTTTACAGACGCTCCAAATCCTCTGTCCTCGTTGGAGATATATTTCGTGGTCAGCGCATCAGGAAAAAGTAAGCATCCGGCAAAGTAGAAAGAAAAGAGAAGTTTTTGTTTTAATTTTTGTTTTTGAACTTGCTACATTTGATTGGAACATTGGCTACTTTAACAATCTGAACTACTGAGAATTTCTAAAATACTGACCGAAAACATATGACACCAAGTTGGCGTTACTGATTCCATTGTGTGATAAAATATCTAAAAACAATTTGCTCATTTTTTTAAAATATCTACCTACTGATTGGTTAACCTGGAAAAACCGACGAAAACCAAATTAGACCAAATTGAGGTTCGATTCGATTCAATTTCTTTTTCAATTGATCAAATGGGAGTTTAGGGCTTCTCAATAGTAAACTAACGTAATACCCAAAACGCTCTTCTTCGTCTTCGATAGTAGCGCCGCTCCCTCCTCTGTCTCTCAGTTACTACTCCAATGGTGAGTGCTCTCCTTTTTCTCCATTTCTCTCTATCTATCTGTTCTTGTACGATGATGGATCTCTCTTGATGACTGAGTGCAGGCACCGAAGAAGGACAAAGTTCCACCACCATCCTCAAAACCAGCGAAATCTGGAGGCGGGAAGCAAAAGAAGAAGAAGTGGAGCAAAGGAAAGCAAAAGGAGAAAGTGAACAACATGGTTCTCTTCGATCAAGCAACTTACGACAAGCTTCTCTCTGAAGCTCCCAAGTTCAAACTCATCACTCCTTCTATCCTCTCTGACCGTCTTCGCGTAATTTCACTATCTCCACTCTTTAAAGCTTCTTGATTGTCGGAATTAAAATCATATTTGTTTGTTTTGGTTGTGAAGCATTAAGTAAATATGTTTCCTTCTTGTGTTGTGACCAGATGATTTTATTTCATATGATTTTCAGACATATGTTGTATTGGTTATGTCATTGTTTACTGTTTTGTGACATGATGGATATGCAGATCAATGGATCGCTTGCTAGGAAGGCCATCAGAGATTTGATGGCTAAAGGAACGATCAGGATGGTCTCCACTCACTCTAGCCAGCAGATTTACACTAGAGCTACCCACAACTAAGTTCCCTTTCAATGTTTTACTTGTGTTTCTCAAGTCAGTGTCTAAATGTTTATCCTTTTTCTTTCTTTCAAGCTTGAGTTTGGATTGTGCTTCTCTTATTATCTCAAAAAAGATTTTATAAGTTTTCTCCTGCCTTTCTTAGTTAAGTGTTTACAGGTAATAGCTGTAACGATTACACAAGTTTTATGATACAAATAAGTGATAGACTTGATATTTTAGGACCTGCCAAAATCTTACATGATATCTAGTAGACTAGTATTGGTGTTTCTTGTCTATAAGTTGTAATGATAACGAGGATGGTTGTTCTGGTTTCCTACCTTATATATCCCGAGCATTCCAGACCATGAAGAGAGTCGGCCTTTTTATGACCATAGGCTTGGTTTCATCATATCCACTGGAATCCGAAGTATTTTTCTTCAGATGATTGACCCATCTACTGCTTTGTTTCTTGACAGAAAGTGGTCAAGTTCATATACTTTGAGTAGCTTAGTTACTTGTTTCACCATGATGCCCATCTATTGAGTTCTATGTACCTGCAACCAGAAGCTGAATGAATAGCCTTTTGTTCTTTTGCCCTACAAAAAATCTCAAAGCTAATGAATTAGGTTCTGACATCATCTTTCACAGCAGCTACTCAAATTAAGACACTGGTAGACTGAACAATACCTTAGTCGATGATGATGAAAATAGAGCCTGACAAGAAGAATTAGAACCAGAAGATCTGAGAATATACAGCTAATGAACTTGTATCTAAGGTTTTCAATATACCTGACAGATGTGCTGGCTGAAGTTTATCCATTTCCAAGATATTGATTCATTTGTTCTCGGCTCATCTTCTTCGCTTCCCACCACCTCTATGTTTGTGATCTACATTAGGAAACACATCAAGATACCCACCAAATATTTTCCTTTTTGAGTTTCATGGAAACCGTAGAGCCCTTCATTAGCTGATGACCATCTTCTTCTGGCAAGTCAACCTCTCCATTGTGAACGTGGATAAATTTTATGATGTCTATATTGCATTCTTCTTAATCTTTGTTTTTTCTCATTCTTATTATTAATTTTCATCTTCCTTGGATGTCATTCTTCACAGATTTGTAGTCTTTCCATTGCTTCATATACGTCCACGTTTATTTTGCAGAAGAAGAAAAATAAAATATGAAAATGCTTACTATATATTATACGAATCAGTGAGCAACCACGATTTGTGACAGCCTTGAGTGTCCTTGTTTGCTGATTTAAATAATAAAGCTTAGAAACATAAACAAGACTTTCTACTTTGTTTAAAGAGAACATAAACAGTGACCTGTTTTTCACCATCATCTCCCACAGATCTCAACTTTTCCGATTATTCCTCTTTCCTACAGCTTATCTAACCATGGTAGATTGGTCGTTACTTCCTAAAGACTTGCTGGAACTAATCAACGGTCGTTTTGAGACATGTTTTGAGGCTGTTCACCTCCGCTCTGTCTGCAGCTTGTGGCGTTCAGCCATACCTCGACGCAGTTATAAACAGAGCTTAAGCGTTGACTACCTTCTCCCTATTTTCAGTGACAACCCTCGGTTTAGAGGCGATAAGAATTGCATACTTAAAAAGATTCCAAATTTTCTTCTCAGATACCAGACTCCCTTTGGTGCTGATTGTTTGATTGTAGGGATCAGCGAGAGTATCTACGACAAACAGAAGTTGGTGTCGTCACTACCAGGTTTTGGTTTCACGTCTGAATATGGGATGGTGCTCAACACTCTTAGTTCCCAAATCATCCCCTTGGATCATCACTACGTGGTAAATTCTAACTATACCTTGATGCAAGATTAGCTTTGTAAGGCCCGGTATAGAGCATAGGCAAAGGAACAGACCGTTTAAGGCATCCCGATTTTATACAAAAAATTTAGTTGTATGTAGGGCGTTATAAAAAAATTATATGAAGAATGACGGCATAAATTTGAATTTATTTAAGAGTAGGGCATTACAAGTTTTTTCTAAGAGTTAGACTGGCACTTGTTTCATTGTCAATTTTGTTTTGTTTTGAAATGATTTTGATTGTAAATAACTTTTTCATATAGATAAAGTTCAATGCTACAACAACTATACGCTATATAACAATGAGACGGGATTTTTCCGAAAGAGTAGCGTTTCTTAGTGAAGATGGTGGAGATTTCACAGTGGTAGCTGGAGTGTTGGATACATTAATGATGTATAGAAGCAGTGAAGAGAGGTGGATAAAAATCGAGGGTCAGTTTAGATCATATCAAGACATGGTTTCATTCAAAGGCAGGTTTTATGTTGTTGATAAGAGTGGAAGGGGACGTGTCTTTGTTATCGAACCTTCTTTAGAAGTTAGCGAGATCCGTTCAGTCACGCAGGCCCACGAATGTTATTGGGAGGCACTGGTTGTCTCAGGAGATGCTGAACTCTTGCTGGTGCAGCGATTTACACCAAGGGGGTATCATGATGAAAATATGCATACGTGGTTCAGATTGTTTAAGCTCGAAGAGGGAGACCAGAGGAGATGGGTTCGGGTTAGTGACTTGGAGGAACGGGTAGTGTTTCTTGGGATTAACAGAAACTTTTGTTATTCGGCAAAGGAGATTCCTGGTGTGAAAGGGAACTGCGTTATGTTCATCGAACCAAATAGTAATACCATCCCTGATAGAATCCTTGTGTTTGACTTAGGTACCAAAAAGACCACTCAGGATTCTACCTTATGCAGAGGCATGAGCAGCATGCTCAGCGAAAATAGAGAATCAGTTAGCATCGGTGATGCGTCAGCTTAGTTTTTTGGTTGTTTGTATTTATTGCAAGGAATTTGGTTGCCAAGTTCCAATTCGTAGAACCGGTTCTTCAATATGTCGATCATCACATGTCATTTGGCCAGAATTGGTGGTTTCAACAACAAATGTTTTTTTTTTTTTAATTAAAGACACCACTATGCTACACCAGATTTTTTCTTTCACCAACAAATGTCAATTTTGCTCGATTCTAAGAATTTTTTGTGAGGCTAGCAATTATCGTTGATATAGATGAGATGAATTTTCTATTGCTAGTAGAAGACAGAAATGATAGTTTAGTAAAAAGGGGATGCAAAATGAGGTTTTGTGTGAAAATCACACTAAAATAGTGGTTTATATTGGAGATGAATTTTTTTTAGTGTTGTAATCACACTAAAATAATGTTATGTGTTGGAGATGGTTTGAATGTAAAAAGAAAGATGAAAGAAATCATTTGGATTCACTAAGGGGTGTTAAAATGGGTCAACCCAACTCAAAACCCAAATGGATTGATTATTAATGGGTCATGGGTCAATCCAACCATTTAATAAATGAGTTGGGTTGACCCATTACCCATTAAATTAAATGTGTCATATGGGTTAATGGTTGATCCATCAACCCAACATCTTTGTCTAAACCCAAAATGAACCATTCTAAATAGGTTTTTTGTAGAATCCAATTAATATAAATAGTGTTAAACATGATTTTAGGTGGCGAAAAAACATGATTTTACGATTTTGGCAGGAAAAATATTGCGATTTTAGTGAGAAATAATTAAGCGGTTTTGGCGTAAAAAACATGATTTAACTAATTTGCGAAAAACATGATTTTCGGTTTTGGCGGGAAAACGTTATTTTCGTCTTTGGCGGGAAAACGTGATTTTACGGTTTTGGCGGGAAAACGTGATTTTATGGTTTTGGTGGAAAAACGTAATTTTGCGGTTTTGGCGGGAAAACGTGATTTTCCGGTTTTGGCGGGAAAACGTAATTTGCGGTTTTGGCGGGAAAACGTGATTTGCGGTTTTGGCGGAAAAACGTGATTTTACGGTTTTGGCGGAAAAACGTGATTTTCCGGTTTTGGCGGGAAAACGTGATTTTCCGGTTTTGGCGGGAAAATTTGATTTTCCGGTTTTGGCGGGAAAACTTGATTTTCCGGTTTTGGCGAGAAAACGTGATTTTCCGGTTTTGGTGAGAAAACGTGATTTTGCGGTTTTGGCGGGAAAACGTGATTTTGTGGTTTTGACGGGAAAACGTTATTTTCGGTTTTGGCAGGAAAAGGTGAATTTACGGTTTTGGCGGGAAAATGTGATTTTGCGGTTTTGGCGGGAGAACGTGATTTTTCGGTTTTGGCGGGAAAACGTGATGGGTGAGTCTAACTGGACAATTTTAATTTGGAGTTAATGGTTTGTTTATAATTTTTGATTTTACTTAAAAACTAAATGGGTGAGGGTTGACCCAACCCAATAGACCTATTAACTTGTTAACCCATTAACTTGTTAACCCATTAACTTGTTAACCCATTAACCTGTTAACCCATTAACCTGTTAACTCATTAACCTATTGGATCAAAAATAAACAGTCATTTAGATTAATTGGTCAATTTGGGTTGGGTCAACCCATGGGTTATGACCCATTTTGACACCCCTAGATTCACATATCTACTAATAATAGCAATCATAATTAATGTCTAAAATCGTGAATCTCCATTAAAGTGAAAAGTTGTATTATAAAACATAACAACCAAAAGAATAGATATAACTCTTAAATTTTAGAAAGGAAAATTTGAAATATTTTAACTACTTTTTAAACTAATTAAAAAGACACAAATATCCAAACAAAACATTTTGATCTGACGTTGAAAAGACACAAATATAATTTGATAATTTCTTTTCACTTAATGTAATTTTAAGATGAAATAAAATAATCTTTGACAATTAATGCTAAAATGCCGTGTCTTATTATTTAGGTAACTACTAAACACAAATAATGATGAAAGATTGTGTTTTATTAACCATGGAACTACTCAAAATAGTTGATAAAAAATGTTTAGATATATCTTTTATCTTAAAAACATATTTTAGATCTCAATTAATATGAAAGTTTGTGTTTTTCAATATGTAAATTTTTCAAATGGTTGTAAAAAAAATAGATCTGTTTTTTGATCATATGAATATTTTTAGGTAAGATATTTTTGAGAAATTGTTAGAAATACCATAAGTTAAATAGCAATTTTCAAAAATACCACCAATAAAAAAATATTAACATTTGGGTTTTAGTGATTATTGTTAGGGTTTAGTACTAAGGGGTCGAGGTTGTGTTTATAAATATTCTACAAATATTTAATAACTTAGCCTAGTATTATTTTCACAAATTAAGGATACTAGTGGTTGGCCCGCCCTACGAGCAGGTGAGTTTACACACTAAATTTATTTTATATTAAAATATATTTTAATTATATAAACATTTGAAATTTCACTTTATATTGAAAATAAAAATTATTTTTTCGAAAGATAATATTGTAATCTGAAAAGTTGTGACTATTCATATTATGGTTTTGAAAAACTATAAATAGTCTATGTTTATGAGTTTCTTCTTATTGTAAATGTTTTTAATTAGGATATTCTTGTAATGATGTGTCTATTCAGAAAATATTGTATAGATATCATTCTAAAATAACTATCTATAGGTAGTTCATGCTCACGAGTTTCTTATTGTAGATCTTTCACAATTTATTAAAATATGTTTTCTGATCATATGAATACTTTTTAATTAGAGTACTTTCTATAATGATGCCTCTTCAAAATATATTGTAGAAATAGCATTTTAAAATAACTAAATGTAATCTGAACATTTGTGCCTATTCATATATCACTTTTAAAAACTATAGATAGTCAATGTTCATGAGTTTCTTATTGTATATTTTTCCCAATTTGTTAAAAAAAAAAAAAATTTTATCATATGAATGTTTTTAATTAGGGTATATTTGTAATGATGTGTCTTTTCAAAAAATATTGTATTGATATCATTTTAAAATAACTACTTATAATCTGAAAGTCGTGACTATTTATATATAGCTTTGAAAAAATAGTCCATGTTCACAAGTTTCTTATTGTAAATCTTTCACAGTGTATTAAAATTTGTTTTTTGATCATTTAAATGTTTTTAATTAATGTATGTTTTTGTAATGATGTGTATGTTCAAAACATATTGTAGAAATACCATTTCAGAATAATTACTTACAATTTAAAAAGTTGTGCCTATTCATATATAGCTTTGAAAAACTATGAATAATCCATGTTCAAAACATATTGTAAACTGTAAAAAATGTGTTTTTTGATCACTTAAATGTTTTTAACTAGTGTATGTTTGTGTAATTATGTGTATGTTCAAAACATATTGTAGAGATACCATTTTAAAATAATTACCTACAATTTGAAAAAGTTGTGACTATTCATATATAGCTTTGAACAACTATAAGTAGACCATGTTCATGAGTTTCTTATTGTAAATCTTTCACAATTTATTAAAATGGATTTTTTGATGATGAATGTTTTTAATTAGTTTTGTTTTTATAATTATTTGTCTATGCTATGATGTGTTTTTAATACTGAAATGTGTTTTCTGATAATATGAATGTTTTTATGAGTTATTTTGTATTGATGTATTTCTAATATGATGTGTTTTTTTATTAAAATGTGTGTTTTAATTAAAATATGTATTTTGATCGTATGAAGGTTTTTAATTGGAGTATCTTTTGTAATGATGTGTATCTTCAAAAAATATTGTAGTTATACCATTTTAAAATAACTAACTACAATTCGAAAAGTTGTGACTATTCATATATTGTATTGAAAAACTATAACTAATCAATGTTCATGAGTTTCTTACTATAAATATTTCACAATTTATTAAAATGTGTTTTTTGATAATATGAATGTTTTTACTTAGTTTTTTATAGTGATATGTGTTTATTAAAATATATTTTTTATAATATGAATGTTTTTCATTAATTTTTTAATAATGATGTATCTCTAATATAATGTGTTTTATATTAAATGGGTTTTTTGATAATATGAATATTTTTAATTAGTTTTTATAATGATGTGTCTCTAATATGATGTATTTTTTTATTATTAAAAGTGTATTTTTTATAATATGAATGTTTTGATAATGATGTAACTATAAATAGTCCATGTTCATGAATTTTATAGTGTAAATCATTTACAATTTATTAAAATGTGTTTTAGATAATATGAAACAAAGGGATGAATGTGACGTGGAAATATTATCGAGATATTCATGAATTTTGTGTTTGCAAATGAATATCAATCATCAAACTCGGTGATGTGCTATATACAAAATGTGAAGATGACATGGACTACTTAAAATCTTTCTGGCTCCCTTCCATGGCTAAGTTCAATGCAGGTTTCATGTAGTGGAACCAAAATTTTGAGCACCAATGTTTTGGTCATTCGAAACAAAACTATGAGCTAAGGTTAACTAAGGTAATGTACACACGACTCTCTACACTGCACTTAAGGTATTGAGATTCAGTTTCAAAACTACTAGAAAAGATTTAATAGTTAATGTTGTTTTTTTTGTAGATGATGGGGAATGCACAGTCTCTATTCATCAAAGAATACAATAATAGACTGTTCAACTGGCTGTTTACATTCTCACTTGTAATGGTGATTGTGAGACAGTTCATTATAAAATTTATTTTATTAGAAATAGCGACATGAATACTATTTATATTCTTGGAAACATATATAAGGATGTTCTAGACATCAAGATCTCTTTTTTAATACCCAGTGTGGCATTTCATTGTTAGAACAAGGGATAATATAGTCTATAGTCAGTTCTAGACTTGGACAAGTAACAACAAGTTAAACTTTCTCGCAACCTCTTTTTCTTTATCTAATATGTTTGTATTTTTTTGGTGAATAGATGGATGTTTACTATAGTCGGCATAATTGAATTGTGTGTGGTTTATTGGCTGTGTTATGG